CTCCCAGACAGTTCCGATCACTCCCTTGACATCCTTGCCTGCTAGTGTAGGCTACTTGCTCTGACAAATGTAACAAAAGAGCCCATAGACAGCACCTGCTTGGCAGTGGTAATTACACATCCTTGTCTCTATTGAAGTGAAGCAACAAGTTCTCAAGTGAACATATTTTTGTTTGACAGTAGAAATGATGAATAGCACTATTTTGTTCTAAGAAAATCCTGTAAGAGCTCAAAAGACCAAGCTGTCACTGGAACCTCTCCACAGATGTGAACTGCACTACATGCCATGCCCTGATTAGAGGCCCCTCTGACCACATGACTTGTTGTTCCCAGCATCTGAAGGACAGAAGATTATCTATACCATCCTCTTCTTCCCTCTGGTGTTAGCTTCAATAAATGGAATTTTAATCAATACATTATATAGTCTGAGTACCGTTCTTGCAGGGATCACAAAGAAAACTATGTCCAGTACACTACAGTTGCAAATCCCAAAGAAGGGTTCCCAGTGTACTGTTTAGGGCTTAAAGTTTATTATCTAAGGATTTAGACCTTTCCATTTAACAGTAAGACATCAACTTCAAACACCAAAGTTGTAAACTGTAACCCTTGGAACCCAAAATGGTCACTGGGGATTTGAAGTTCTCAGATGAGGTTAGATTTTAAATCCTGTGCCCTGATCAGTAAAAGAGTAAACTGCAAACCCTGACTGGTAAATAACAAGCCCCACAAAATAAAGTAATAAACCATGGCTCCTGATTGAGAAACCCTCAAGAACAAATTCCAAACACTAAGCCATGAGTGAAAAATACTAAACCTCCAGTTTTTAACACAGTTTAAAACACATAGGAGTATAATCAATTTACAGATCCAAAGCTATATCACAATTCAGTACTGAGGCACGGTCAACACCTGCTGCGAGGTCCATCTGTCTGCATTCCTAATCCCTAACCACACCAAGGTCCTATTCTCACCCCAATGCCTTGGTGGCCTACCCAGTGCTCTGCTCCCTTACCCTGAGCCACCTACAGCACATACCTCTGCACATGTTTTTGTGTTCTGATTCTGGCCAGCACTCGAGCTTACCAACTTCCTGGCACCTCCTCTCTCATTGATCCCTACACTGGTCCCCTGCTCTGGTAAACAAGGTCAGACTTTTTTCTTCTGCTCAGAAGTGACTGTCCAGTCTTATGTTGCCTACTCATCTGTGAGAAAACACACATGCAGAGCTCATCCCAAGACACCATGCTGTACAAAAAGGACTGCTGAAATGCTTCACCTCCATAAGAGTGTCATTGAAACTTTTCTAATGAGGCAATGGTTTCATACAGATACTACATGTAACATGTTCAACAAAAGTGACAGCCACCCCAACAGAGCCCTTAACACAGGAAGTGTCCGCATCATGCCAAATTGTGTCTGCATCAGAAGTTTATTGCCTCACCTTTCTCTGGACTCTTGCAGCAGCATTAGGTGGCTCAGTAGAAGGTTTTTTTGCACATTGTGTGTCAGGACATTCAAAACTGCTGTATTTGGTAGCCATTAACTTACAAAGACTGTTGTGTGCCCATGTGCTGGATCACTAAGCATACAGAGAAAAATTCCACATGCTCTGAAAGCAGCAAGTTAGGGACAGACCTGCCACCAGACACCATGCATTCATTTGTTTTTATTTGTTTGGAAAAGGTGCTCACAAGTGTTGATTCATTGTTTTGAACTACTTCCTAAAAGGAAAGAATTATTAAAAATCATACGCTAATTATGCTTTGAAGAGTGAAGCTGATGGAGAAATGCATAGAAGCATTTGATATGGGAAGAATTAATGGTTCATTACAAAAAGAACATCAGAAAATCATTTTTATATGTTCCTTTCCTTTTCTCCTCCCTGGATTCAAAGCTTCTTATTACAACTGTCGGGGTAGGCAGCGGGTCTGCTGGACGCCTGACAGAGCAGATGGAATTCGACCTTGGCCAGATTGTCCCATACCACAGATAAGGAGCAAGGACAGTGAACATCTGCTGTAAGAAACATGAAACTGTTGACCACAGATAAGGAACTATGTGAATTATGTTCAGAAGTAAAACTTTAAGAAAGCTATCCAATCATGTACCGTTGCTATGGGTGTACCGTTGCTATGGGTTTAGCCAATTATGTTAGAGCTTGCAGTAGTTGTAAAAGATATATAAAGTATGTAGTAAACAATAAAGATTCCACTTCTTTTGCTTCTAACTTGATTATTGACTGTCGCTTGACCATCTCTACCGTGACAACAACCACAGGGTTTAATGCTCCTGTGTCTATTTCGGAACATATTCCTAAAAGGTACATAACTGTCTAGGTGGCAGCATCAAGGTACAAGAGAAGTTAGATGTTAAAATGCATATACTTCTTTACATTTTTGAAGCACTGACATTTATATGCTGGTTAATCAAACTGACATAAAATGTGATGACAAGAAGTGGAATCAAAAAAGCTTACTTCCCTTTTGAATAAAGCAGAAGACAAAAAATGACCTTTGGTTAAGGCAGTAATTGAGATTCTTTTCAAAAAATAAAAATAAAAGACTAGGTGTTACTTTCTTTATCCCCAGCCTTAGCCCCTAGCCTTCATGGCTCTCACCGATCACTATCAAGAGGTGTTTTGCTCTCCTAACTGCAATAATATTAGTATTTGTAATCAGGAAAAAAAAACAAAAAACAAAAAAACAAACCAACGCATTTCTTCTCTAAAATCTACAAAAACTATTCATAATCAAACAAGGAACCCCCAGTATCAATAAAGGCTGGGGGATGAAGGGATTGAGAGCAGCCCTACAGAGAAGGATTTGGGGGTACTGCTGGATCAAAAACTGACTGTGAGCCAGACATGTGCACTCACAGCCCAGAAAGCCCCCGTGTGCTGGGCTGCACCCAGAGCAGTGTGGGCAGCAGGGTGAGGTGAGGATTCTCCCCCTCTGCTCCGCTCTGTGAGACCCCCCAGCAGTGCTGGGTCCAGCTCTGGAGTCCTCAGCATAGGATAGACACAGACCTGTTGGAGCGGGTCCAGAGGGCCACAAAAATGATCAGAGGGATGGAACATTTCTCCTATGAAGTTCAGCCCAGAGAAGAGAAGGCTCCAGGGAAACTTTATTGTGGCCTTTCAGAACTTAAAGAGGGCTTATAAGAAAGATGGGGACCAACATTTTAGCAGAGCCTGTAGCGATGGGACAAGGGGTACTGGCTTTAAACTAAAAGAAGGTAGACTCAGACTAGATATAAGAAAGGAATTTTTTACAATGCAGATGGTGGAACACTGGAAGAGGTTGCTCAAAGAGGTGGTAGATGCCCCATCCCTGGAAATATTCAAGGCCAGGTTGGATTAGTCTTTGAGCAACCTGATCTAGTTGAGTATGTCCCTGCTCATTGCGGGGGGGTTGAACTAGATGACCTTTAAAGGTCACAGCAGACCAAACAGTCAAGAGTCACCAAATGATGCTGGTAATCTTTTCAACAGGCACCACCCACGTTCTTCAGCATTCTAAAAACAGAAATAGTTTTTGTCCTTCACAAGCCATACTACAGATCTGTCAGTGCAAATAGAAGGATGAAAATTTACTTCCTGTATCCAACTTTTTTTTTTTTAAATAATGTTTCCATATAATACCTTGTACAGTGACGTTCTGTGGCACAGTTAGGGCTTCCATATACTGTAGCACTACCAAAGCTTCTAAACACAGACCAGGATTCTATACAGAGCTATTACTTCTTCAAGAGCCATCCCCATCATAGACTATCTGCAAAATACGGTAAGACTATTTTGAAGCCTTCCCCCGCTGCCCCTCTTTCTCAACTTTGCTGCACTGCTACTACAGGAGGACTTGTAGCACCATTGTGAGCAATATCAGTTCCTTGATTTGGAAGTCTTATAACATGGCTCTTAATAGCTTTGGCTAGCTTGGAGAAGACAAACAGTAATACTGAATTTTGAGTTACTAGATCAATTTACTATAAATTGCTGAAAACTCAGACTTTAAAACCACAAATATCATCCATGAATGTGAAAACAGTGCAGAAATTCAAATTCAAATCTGATTTACCAAAAAAAAAATCACTGTCTTTTTACTAATTTTCACCTCGTAGCAAATCTTTATCATTATATGACAGGCTACAGTTATGTATATATGCAATTCAACATGGAAAAAAACTGTGAATGCCCTCATGTTTTCTCCACTGCACAATAAGCACGCACTTAATGCACAGGCTACTAGATCTCAGTGCAAGATGAAGAAATTAAAGAAAAAATACTGAAGTTTTAATGTCCCCCTTTTCCTTTATCTAGGATTAAAGCTCATCATGTTCTGCTAGAACTGAAGACACTGAATACAGTTTTATCTTCACAGAAACTGGATGTAAAATTATTCAGCGTTGTCCATGTATAGCAAGCACAGGTATATATAGTTTATCACATAGAAATTCTGCCTGAAACAGAATGAGTAATTAGTTTAGCCATCACAAATGTTTAAATCACCTAGCAGAGGGAATTCAGAGAAATCCAAGGTAAAGTCATAAGTGCTATGGATGAAATTAATACCCTACTACAACAGCAGCACTATTTCATTTTATAATGGTTTAGGTGGTGCATAAGGCTTGTCCTCCTCCATGCCACAATGGATTCCATCCTTCAAATAAGCTTTCATTACAGGGCTGCTAGAACATCTGGCAAGGCACCACAGAAATTTGTGGCAAATGTGGTATGACTATACAGTGTTTCATGTCTGGAGTAGTTTAAAAGCACAAGGTGCGGGGCGTCCCCCACTGCAGAGAGACTATATGCAAACATAGTTTTGTTTAACTCACACCCTCTTTTTTTCCAGATTTGTCCTTCAAATTGCATGTAGAAACCTAGCTAAAGCTTAGATCCTCACCTTTCAGAAACCATATGGGAATTCAGCAGTCAATTTTCCATTATGCTTTCAAATACATAGAGATAGCCAGGCCTGTTCACAGCCTTTCTGATCCAAGTTTCTTCCGCTGGACTTCTTTTAGCTGTTGAAAAGACCTATATAAGGACAAGTGTTCCAAGAAGCACCAAACAATTCTGACTCAGATACACCCAGGTGGTGCACACAAATGTGCAGATGAAGCACTTTTTGCCTTACCTAGCCTCACTGGAGATAGATGGTCATCCCAGACTTTAACACGCAGTGAAGTTATTTAGTGTTGCTTTGTCCCTTTCCCAGATACTGGAAGCAGCTTGGCTAGTACTCCTTAAAACAAGAATCTAGAAGTGTGGAGTTTACACAGTGCCTCACAGAGCATTCTTGGCTCTTCCGGCTGTTGCCAACTGACAGCAGGAATAAACCATGAAAAGCAGTGTCAGAAAATAGAAGTTAGAGCCTTCTAGATTCAAGTCATGCTCTTTATGTTATGCTCCAAAGATATGCATTTCAGCATTTGTCTCCAGGCACCCTGCACTAGAAAACAAAACAGCTTTCTACTCCTTGCAAGTTCCAGGAGGAATTGGGAAGGAGGAAGAAAAATGCACACACAAATAGGGGGAAAAAAAAAAAAAAAAAAAAAAAAAAAAAAGAAAAAACCCACACCAAAACACCAAACAAACCCCCAAAACAGCCAAAAGTCTTAGTTTCAGTTTCCTAAAGGAAAGCAAAGGAACCCCAACTGCATAACTTGACATCATTGTTTTCATACTACAGTTACAGTTTTTGTTTCTAAACATAAGATGGCAGCAGAGGGACACTAGTATTAATAAAGCCTATCCGCTCCATCTCTGAGAAAGCCAAACATCTTTGTTACACAACTATTACACAAGCCACTCTTAGTTATTTACCAGAAATCTCTAAAGCCTGCACAAAAGAACTTTGAGCATCATTCTTTTATCTACCACTACTTGGCTACGCGTGCCCTCACAGACAGTCGTAAGCTACCACCACTCTAGAGGAAAGTGCAAAATCCCTGTCACCTCCTGCCCTGCCAGTCACTGCAGTCAGGCAGCCAGCCTTTCAAGTCCGTGAATAGATGACACGCGTTAGAGTGACTTACCTTCTCCTCTCTTACAATTTCAATAGCCCCTACTAGAAAAGGCATAAAAAGCAGGCCTAAGAAAACCTCTGGAAGACCTTTCTTTCTGTACAGCATCCTGCTTCAGAAAAGGAAGCATGTTCCCTGCTTCTAAGTATTTGTCTCCTTCAGGCAGAAGAGCTTACAAAATCCAACTTGCAAGAATACTGTGTGGCTTGATATTTCTAATGGAACCTATATGTATTTACATCTTGTCAAATTCTGTTTAAGCAAAAGAACATCCTCTGGTAGATCAAGAACAGAATAGCAAAATGGCAAAATCTGTAGCTTTGCTAATTGGAGGAGGCATTCAGTTTTGAATATCTCTTCTAGATTACTCATTCTGGGTAGAGCCAGTTTTGTTCTCTTTTGAAGCTGATTTCTGTTTAAAAAAAACATGAAGTTTTTATTATTTTTATATATATTTTATAAAACCATCCATCATCTTCAATGATGATGGGCAAAACCTTAGCTGTGCTGACAAGCTTCCAATATCATAGCTTGATCACCTAAATAACTTTGATGCAAAACAGATGCCTGTGCAATGGGGAAATAAATAGTTATTATGACTCCCAGTATCACCTCCATCACATCACATCACATCACATCAATCAAATGGATTCCAAATCCATTGCACCAACAGCTGCTGAACTAGCAGCCCCAGGAGCACAGGACACAGGCAGCGCAGCATCCTCATGAAAAAGTCTGGACCTTGAGGCCAAGGAACTCCAGCAGACTGTTCAACGACCCCTTTGATGACAGCAGCTTAAGCTGGTAACACCTGTCCTGTGAAAAAGGAAGAAAGTTATGTGGAAAGAAAGTGCAAGTCTAATGACAGGGAATGATTCTGCAGCAGATCCTCCTCAGGAAGCAAAGGCTTTGTCACTGAGGATACCACCTGAGGGCAGGGATGCTATCATAAGGGCTATCACAAGGTAGGCTGTAGTGAAATGCAATGTGATTATCAGCAATATGACAACCTAAGATTATGACTCGTCAGCAGAAAATAGATACTGAGGAGGAGTTTGAGCAGACTCTTTGGAAATGCTAGGAAAAAAAGGAGAGCTTCTGGAAAGAGAGCTTAGTCTGTTAAAACAAACACAAAAACCTGTCAGCAAGACCTTAGTCAATTTCTTACTTTGGCTAAGGCCTCCCTGACAGGTTGGTTGGTTAGTCAGTTGGTTTTGTTTGGGGCAGGGGGGTTATGCTCTTACTACAAACAGAGGACTGGAAATGCAGAGTAACTGTGCATGGTGCAAGGAAGAGGGATTCAAACTCACTAGGAACTACAGGAATCTTTAAAAATAGAAGGACCCTACACAGGAGGTATTCCCTTCATCATAAGCCACATGCAGTCAGGATGCTTACATTTACGATAAAATAATTTATTTTAAAAGGCACAAGAGAGTTTAACCTAAGCATCACAGAAAAGCCAACAAGCATTAACAAGCACACAGTTTGGGGCAATAAACACCAACCTTTGTGTTTTCCTAAGTAAAGCTTAGAACAACATTCAACAAACACAAGAACAGTTTGATAACCTTGCAAGAGCAACAAAATCCACATATCTACTACAATGGGGCATAGTTTCCAAAAGGGAGTTAAACTTCTTTCTTTTTAAATAAAGAGAAAGTAGTGGTGCAGCTAGAAAAGTAAAAATATTTCTAGTGACAGGAAAACTAAACTATATCTTATCAGCAATCACGCTTTATTGTTATGAAGGGGAAGGACAACATCCCTCAAAAAGTGGAAGTTATGCTGAAATGCAGAAAATAGACATGGTCACAAACTGTCATATTAAAACACAACAGGGCAGGCCAGAAATAAGGCTTGGGGAAAAGAACTTGCAGACAGGAAGTGAACCGATGACTCCTCTCTCAGCCATATTGGGGACTGTGAGACTATCAGAGTTCATAAGGCCAACCGATGGTCAAAATGTAAACAGTGCACCAAAAGTGATTTTTGCACCCATATTGTTTCAGACAAACTTGCAAAAGTTCCTGTGCCAAAAGCTTCCTCTATAGGAGTTGCAATACAGAATATTTTAAACTGAAGTGTCTGTAGGTAGATTACAGAATGGATTAAGAGATCAAAATTAATAACAAGTCAATAAACTATATGTTATCCCTTCAAATGCTCAACTTGGAGGATGAAATAAATATAGTAACTATGGTGTTCTACCTAGTTACCAGGGGACTGGATGGTACCATACATAACATGAATTTTTAAAAAGGTTTCAGAAAGCTTCAGTCTTATAAATCCTATGTCCATTCCAGGCATGCTAGCAGAAGCATACTAGTAGAAGTTAACTAGAAGAATTAGTAGGCACATGAATAACTAGTAAATGTAGATAAAACATCAACATAGTTTTTGTAAAGGAAATTCAGGCCTGACAAATCCTTTAGAATTATTTGGAATAATCAGTGAGCATGTGGACATCTACTGTATTTGGATTTCCTGAAACTGTTCAGTGCAGACCCTTGCCAAAGGTTCTTAATCTGTGTTGTGTAGGACAACAGGAACAGATTCTCCCCCAGAGAAGCAACTCATGAATAGGCTGAAAGAACTGGAATAAACAGTCAGTTCATAGTTGGGAAAAAATTGCAAGTAGACTCATGCAGAGATCTCTGCTTAGCCCTAGGAAACCCACTTACAAAGGTGTAGGGAGAGGCGCTCGGAAGACCTCGAGATGTATGGGAAGAATAGGGAACCAATCAAACATGCCAAAGAAGAATGTTACCAAAACACAGCCATGCTTAAGGTGGATCCCTTTAAGGAGCATGTATAAGGCAATTGCGCAGCTAGTAAGTTGAACAAGTAACAACCATCACACTGGTGTCTGTGCTTTTGTTCCCACGAAGGTTTTAACCTCCTGCAAGGGTTAGCTGTGATCTGAGTGCCACATTTCTGTGGCTTGGCAGGTAGAAAAAGACAGCTAATGCCTTACCACAACACAAAGGATTTTGAAAGGTCAGGTGAGGCAACAGATTTCTAACAATGTCCTCCTGTGTAGTTAAAAAAAAAAAACCTATGGAGTTGCTGCAGGGGTTAACAATATTTTGGGAACAGACAGTAAAGCTGCAGATTAATTTCAATATTAATAAAAAAAAAAAAAAAACAGGCACAGGAGATGGGGATTCAAAGTTTGAACATTACACATTATATTATGGTCTCCGAGAGGACTGTTATGATCCAACAAAGATCTTGAAAATTAATAGGTTGAAAGGCTCATTGCTCAAAAGCAAGATAGAAGGCTTTAAAACACTCGGAAAAGAAAACACAGGACGGGGAAAAACATTTACATCACAATTAATCCACATCATTCCTCCATCTTGAATACGGTGTATAGTGCAGGCCTCTACCTGTCAGAAACGAGACAGCAGTATGATAAGTTACATAAAAGGATATATGAGAAACAGATCACCTGCTGTACAAAGAAGACTCTGCTTCTTCAACCAGAAAGGCAGCAAACTGGGAAAGGAGTGACAGAGTTCTGTAGCTATTGTGGAAGTGATATTATTCCCCATCTTCTATAATAGAAGTCTTAAGAGGCATCAAATGAAATTATGAAGTAGCAAGTTTAAACACACATACGCCTCTCTCTCTTCATGCAGCACCTGAATATGCTAAAGTTCACTTTTCTGTCAGATATTGTGAATGCTAAAACTTTGTATAGCTTAATAAATCACTTAGACAAAGTTAGATGAAATGTGCAAAGGCATGGGCTCTAGCTCATAATTTATCATTCACAGGTCACAATCACCAGAATAATATTCCAGAGCTAAGCCAGACAATGGACCAGAGACTAAACTTCTTTTGATTGAGTGTGACAGTTCCTTTAACAATTGTAATGTATGTTTCCTTGCTTATTAACTAATGTATTTTAATGTATTCATGCTTTTTAAAAAAGATCATCATGTGTTCACTTTATGACCCCAAAGTTAGGACACCTCAAGTGGCCTCGTTTTGTCTACAAGAGGCTCTCCTCCTTGAGCAGAAACGTGAGATGTGTGGACAGCTTCTGCCATTAAGTTCAGTGCCTCACAGCTGCCTTCTAGTTCATTTGAACGCATCTGGAGTTTCTTATCATTCTCAAGCTTATTTACGCAAATAGCAGTTAAGATTCACAGCCAAGGCCTTTAATCACAAGTACCTTAAGATCAAAATGCTGTTGGTATAGATTTCCTTCAACTTTGTGTCAGATTTCCAACGACATGTAAAGATATGTCCAAGTCCAGTTCTCCAGCTAATTAGGAAGAAACATTTTAGACAGTATTCTAAGAACCACTGTTGACATTTTGTTTCAGGAAATTTGCAGTAGGATTCACTCATTGAGTTTGTCCATTTCCTTATGCTCCAGTGTTCTTTCAAGTATTCCAAAGACAAACATGGTCAAAACTATTAAAAGTGGTAAAACTAAACTCATTTACTCCAGACTGATCTTTTTCCAAGACTTAATCGCACTTCTTTAACTGATGTTTGGGTTTTACTAAGGTGTGTTTACCTTATTTTGAGGGTTCTCCAAGACTGCCATGACTAGAATTGCTGTATATGCAAACCAGGAAGCACAGTTCCAGTTCACACTCAGCCCATAGAATGCCATGTGTCAGAATGCACCAGGCAGCTCAGTGACTTAGTACACAGCTGGGCACATTCAGGTAGATAACCGGAGGACTATCCAGAGCTGTGCAAAGGAGTGCAGCAATTGGGATGAACACATTTTACATGTTCATTATGCAACATGTTTTCAAGAGCCTCTAAAGCCATCCCCAGTTAAACCTGTCAGATTGAACAATAGCCACCACCAGCTAACAACTAATGCTCAATCTGCTTAAAAGTTTTAACTGCATCTTTGCAAGATGCTGAAGGCATTCACCACTTTTTAAAGATCAAATCAAACTTCTGCCTCCCTGTCCCTCCAACTCTGATATTTGCAAGTCTATTTGTGATCAACGGTTATACTGTTACAGGGGAAGCCCACTCTCACAGCAGTCAGGATAACAGAAGTCAGGTCATATTACTCAGGTCAACCTTACAGAGGATGCTGGATAGCAGAACTTTTAGCTACTGATATTTTTACTGATGGTGTCATTGTATATCATCATTTGTGTTTGCAGATACAAAAAGGTAGTATGAAAAGCTCACAAAGCAAAAAGCTATGCCAATATGCTAATTTTAAAAAAAAAAAAAAAAGTTCAAGAAGCATGCTTTTGTAGTTAAGTGAAATGTACGTTTGAAAATACTTCTGTCAAACCACCCATCATTTTCCTTACAGCAGCACCAAAGAATTATCTGAAATTAAAGCCTGCAAAGTGATAGGCACTATGTATGAGCATCAGCCTCTGTTATTTAAGAGGAGAGTTTAATTCATCAAGTCTAGCCTATAAATCATTAAAGGCTATCAGTCAAAGTTGAATTTTAAAAACAAAGTCACTTTGACTACTACAGAAACTTCAGTATTTAAGAATTCTTATTCTTTAGCAATAGCTCATATTTCATCCTAGAGTCTCAATGCACTTTAAAACATGTAACCTTCCTTCTAGGTCTAACTAGTGCTTATTAGAACTACATTCAGAGAATGTACACAGGTAAAAACATGGAATGTTTAGCTCAAGAATCACACAGCCAAGCCCTTTTCATAAATATGTTGTCTCCACTCATACTTCTTGGGAACGCTAAAGGCTCTTGGGCCACAAATAGCCGAATTTTGAAAGGAACAGCCACTTTTACCAAAGAGTCAACAAATACCCTAGCCCTACTTAACAGCTTGCTTTAGAAGGTCCCAAAGACATCCTTCATGAGCTGGCCTTCCAACTACTCCACCCAGCTTTACTCAAACTCAGCAACGGTGAGGGTATGTTTGGGGACAACCTTGCAAAAAGCCTCTGCTGCAGATCAGATCACCTTCAGTCCTCAACTACCAGTTTTGAGTCTACAAAGTTATTTTTCTTGGGGTTACTTGAGGTCTTGCTCTGATGCACAAAAGCCCTCCCTGTGGTGCAGACATGTACCAGTGAAAGCCCAAGCGGTGAAAAAGGCCCATGATCACATATCTCTTCACTCCAAGGTCTCTGTCTACAGCTGTCTATTCTCCTAGGTAAGTGTCATCTCTTCAGTCAGCCAGGGCCCATGACTTACTTGGTAAAAGCAATTCACAGTCGCAACAGAAGCAACTTTAACAGTGTCCTGGTTCAGCCAGGATAGAGTAAAGTTTTCCCCAGCAGAGAGAGAGGGGGAAGGGATCTCCAGCCGGGTTATTCATACCATGCTGACGTCAGGTTCAGGGGCGGAGCCTTTTTACCTTTTCACTTCTGGTGTTGGTTTTTGCCATACGCGTGGCGGGTTTGCTCCGTGATCATTTAGCGGTATTTCTCTGTATATGTTTTGTCTTGTTCACTGTTATTGCTGGTTATTGTTGCTACCATTGATACTGTTGTTATTAAGATTGTTCTATCACTCTGCTGTATTAAATTTCTTGTTATTTTAGCCGGGGTCTATGTTTAACTTCCAGCCCGATGGCGCGGGTGGGGGCAACAGCCACGTGCTCTCTCATCCCGGCAAGAATTAGACCTTGCACAGTTACATTTTAACAGTTTTACACAGATTCTCCAGTAGCATTCCCACAATACAACAGGGCACAGTGCAACAGGCCACACAGGACATCACAGGGGATACTGGGCTCTTATATCTCCTTTTTTCTGAGGGGAAAGAAAAATGAAGAATCGGATTTTCTAGTTTAATTAAAGCACAAAACAGGCACCTAGGCGAGGATTGTCCACACTTCCCCACATCAACAGCAATTTACGGAAATGCTCTACAGAGGAAATGCCTCGGTGGAC